TGGAAGCGCTGTTCTAGGTGACGTCGCGAAAACGCAAGAACGGTTGGAGTCCCTCTAGAGTCGGTTCTTCCTCGATATGGAATTCTTGTCGCAAGTATGGAAGTGTGTGGCCAGGCGCTTAACTAGCAACACACTGTGGATTTAGTCGGATGGTCACACGTGGATGCGGTTAACCTTCCGCGCAAAAGGCGGCGATGCGACAGGCCATGAGACGCTCGCAACACTCTTGGCAGCTGCGCAAAGTTGAGTTGGAATTACCTTCAATGATAACATCAGCTAGGATTAGAAAATCCTATGCTGCGTTGGCAGTGTTGCTCTGCTGCGTACATTGTGATCTTCAAACCCTAGTCTGCTCTCTGATCCAGACGTCATGCTGTGATTAGAGAGACGATAGATAGCTGCTACGTTGACTGTAAAACCCGCACATGCTGACTTTTTTTTTCGTGTCGTCAGGCTGGGTTTTTGCCGAGGCATGAAATAAGCTTGGTGCTCCGGTTCTGCCTTGCCTAGAGGTCTGACTGTTGTGTCCTTTGGGACGGGAGCCTACCAGTGACTCCGGGCCAAGATCCGTGGTGTTTGCATCGATACTGTGTGTAAGTCAGGCCCGATACGTGGGGACCTGGGGTAGCCTACCCACATCACGGTTCCCGGATCACCTAGCCAGTGACAGTGAGCAATGGTCGCATCGTCGAAAGGAGACATCCGCACAGTACTTCGAAGTTTCCAGATGAGGGGATTTAAGGCCAGTAATATCTGCGTCAACGCTCGTAGTGTTGAAGCTTGACATTCGACCAGATGGGAATGAAGACACCAGAACCGGGAAGAGCCGCACCGGGCTGCGCTACAGCGCAAGAAGACTGCGGTGTAGATTTGTCTTGGTACTTCTTGCGGACTGAATGATAGGTAACAGCTGGCTCCAAGCTAAAGAAGGGTGTTTGCCATAATGGTAAATGCACTTGACGATTTGAGTGTCTGGCAGACCTGGCTTTTCTCCTCGGCTTCTCTGCGCCTAGTAGCAAGCCTGATCGTGAAGTTCCCCGCATGGTTCCCAGAAACATGTACCTGCTAAATAGGCGGTAGACAGCTTGACAGACATGGGAGGTCGACGTTCGAATTGCTGCCCGTCCAGCTTCTTCACTGGCAAGGCCGCTAATCAGGTTTGGGCGACCTTCTTGTTCTTTGTAGCTGCATCTGTGAGACACTCTTTCTTAGATGAGCTTGAAGTAGACATTGTCCGTCGATGAATACAATGGAAGGTCACTTGCGAGGTGGTTGGAATGCGAAGAGAAGGAAGCCACGATTAGCGTCTTGGCGCTGCCCCTCTTGCGCGGACGCAGGCACCGCTCCCCCAGCGTACATCACCGTACCCATACTCCGGTAATGTTTTTCGCAATTATATCCGCGGACGGAACGGCTACATCTTCATTGAAAAGCCCAACAATCTGGTTCTAAAATTTTGTTGCCAGATGCATTTGCATCGCTCTCATCTCGGATACGTGTAACAAGCTTGGAAATGTTGTAAGGGCTATAACACGATCTGAACAATACGCATCAGTGCCTATTTCGCCTTTGATATCCCGCTTGATCGAAAGGATTGATGCTCCTCGGACAGACGGTCGTAGTGACTCAGCACTCAGCACTCAGCATAGTCGCCAGACACGGCTTATTTCTAGCGGAAATGGCATTGAACTTTAGTAGAGTAAAGTTTTGCAGATTCGGCCCTGTGTTAAATGAAGAACTCGAACTGTTCAATCACCTTACGCATCGATAACGATACGACCTCGATCGGTGTATCATGACGGGACGGCCGATTAATCGGTGGAATTCCAGCCATTCCCGTTGTTCAGGCGTCGAGCAACCTCGACTAACAGCTGTTTGCACGGTCTCTGTTGCACTAGCTGCCAACTGCTGGGGGTCTGAGTTCCGAAGTGGGAGTGTCGTTTGATGTGTGTTCAAACGTAGCAGATGGTTGATGTTTGGCGTGTTGAGTAGATCAGACCCTGGAACTGCGTTCGCGGCATCTTCTCCGCCCAAGCTTCAAGCTGATGACGACAACCGCGTCAGCTATCCCCCGTCATCACCCCGAACGCCAGACACGCGACAACAGACCAACCTGAGCATGAAGGTCGCACCGTTCGGAATTCGGAATGACTACCAGTGCATTGCGCGCGCGAATGGCTGACTCGTGCTCACCGCAAATAGCGCACCTGTGACCATGAGCGGCTAGCCGTGACTGCGGGGTGCACGCCCTTCGCGGACTCAGCATGGAAGCAAGCATGGGACTTGTGACTGTTCCTACTGTTCTTTCTTACCCTGCAGCTTTGGATAGCATGCATCCTCTACCACCACCGCCGCCGCCATGACAGAACACCGCCTACCGGTCAAGCAGCTGGCCATTCTCTGTACGTCCGCACAACGCGTCTTCACCTGCAAGCTTGCTAACTTCGCGACAGCACTGTGCCGATTTGCCGAGCCCATCGCCCTCACGTCTGTCTTCCCCTACGTACCGGAGCTCATGGAGTCCTTTGGCATCCCCAAGAATGACATCGCGCGCTGGGCTGGCATCTCGTCCTCGGCCTTCTCGCTATGTCAGGGCTTCACTGGCCTCCTCTGGGGCGCTGCATCCGATCGCTATGGGAGGAAACCGATTATACTGTTTGGCCTTACCAATACCATGTGGTCGATGTTGCTATGGGGTTTCTCGCTCAATCTGCCTATGGCTTTAGCCGCACGCGCTATCGGAGGACTATCGAACGGGTACGTGGGCATTCTGCGCACTACCGTGGCCGAACTATGTCCATGGAAAGAACTACAACCGAGAGCGTTCAGTGTCATGCCTTTGGTCTGGACAGTTGGTGCCACTTTTGGACCTACACTCGGTGGAGCCTTGGCCAATCCTCTCCGCGTAGATCCTCGCAAGCCTAAGGGCACCGCTTTTCTGGAGAGATTCCCATATTGCTTGCCTAACATCGTGGCTGCTGCATTGTTCACTTTCGGCATCTCAGTAGGCTGGCTGTTCCTACAGGAGACCCTGGAAAGCAAGAAGCACGCTCCAGATCTAGGCCTGAGAACTGGGGCTAGGTTGACAGCATTTGTTCGCAAAGTACTACACCTTCCAACTAAGAAGCAGAACAGCAGTCCAGAGCACGAGCCTCTACTTGGTCACCATAAAGTAATCGACAGCGAGACGACGTCGCAACATGATGCTGCTCATGAAATTATCCCAGAAAAGGCACCAAGGTATCGGGATGTATTGACATATCAGACATCGCTTAATCTGATTGTGTACACGCTACTCGCTATGTACCTCCAGGCATATGATCAGGTGCGTGATTTCGTGCGCCTACCAAGTATTGATATTGATCCAGTGCAGCTGCTTCCAGTGTTCATGCACCACCCTGTACAACTCGCAGACGACCCCACAGTATCTCTTCCTCTGAAATTCGCAGGAGGCTTTGGCATTGAATCCCGTCGCATCGGCATCATTTTTACCGTATTCGCCATCTCATGCACAGTGTGTCAATTCCTGCTGTTCCCACCCATTGCGCGCTATCTCGGTGTTGTTCGCTGCCTTCGGATCGCCTTTCTGATCTTCCCATTTGTGTTCTTCGTCACACCGTTCCTGTCGCTTATCCCAGATCCAGTCATGAGGGAAGTCGCTATGGTGATGCTCTTGATGGTCAGAGGCCTGGCTGGCACGTTCTCATTCACCACCAGCACAATCATGCTCACGAACAGTGCGCTTAGCCTACGTGTCCTAGGCACCGTCAACGGCCTGGCTACTAGTTTTAGCTCGTTTGGCAGGGCATTAGGTCCTACTTTAGGAGGTGGGTTGTTTACTTGGGGTGTCAAGCGCGGCTATGTTATTGTGCCTTTCTGGACAATGTCTGCCATTGCGCTTGCTGCCTCTGTACCAACTTTCTGGCTAGTCGAGGGTAAAGGGTTTGGAGGCGACGAAGACATCAACGACCAGGAGAACACCATCGAGACTGAAGAAGAAGTGGTTGAGAACGACGCAAATGTACCTCCAACAGCCTGGCAGCAAGACGAAGCAGCGTTTTCAGAGTCGGAATTCGGCGACTTTGGTGACCCACCAAATATCCTGAGTCTCACAACTACGCGATCGAGCGTGGCCATGGCCTCCGATGATGAAGATAACGCTTCGGTGTCTGTGGGTCAAGGGCAGTCGATGAATCCCCTGGAGGCGGCAAGAAGTCATTCTCAGACCAGACGACGAAAGATTGTAAGGAGGACGTCGTCGATACCGATTGGTATGGGTAAGGGTTTCAGGCGATATAGCTCGAACCTGGGTAGCACGGGTATCGGTGGAGGCGGTGCTAGCTGGGGAGGCGCATAAATCTGTACTTTTGGGCGGGAATCTGTCCATTACTGGGTATTCTGGTAAAAAGCATCAATCCATGCCTTCAGTAAGCGCATCGGTTTCAAGTTGGTCCAAATTCCGTGTATGTCAATGACAACAGTGCTAGTGATGTGCTAAATCTCGATACACTTTTTCCCCCATCCTATCTACGATTGTATTATTTAGTCCTACATGAGAGCGTAGTGATAATCACGTCGGAATCATCCAAAGCAGAATGTTGAGTATGAGCGAAACGTTCAATTACAATGTACAGACTACTGTTATTTTGTCATCCAACCTGCCTACGATGTGTCGTAACCCATAGTTTGACCGCCTGATTAATTAAGGATCATATACCAACGCCCCGTACCACCGTATAACTAGACCATACCAGGGTATCTGATACTCCACGACGAACTCCACCCAATAATCATGCAGTGTCCCCCGCGATACCTCCCTAGCCCAGACCCTGTTAAACGATAACGTAGTCAGTGTCCTCATCTCAATCCCCGATGCTACCAGCATCAAAGTCCTCGCTGAAGGAAGAGTCGTCGGGGAAAAGACTAGAAAGAACGATACGATGCAACGTTTCTCTTCGAAGTTTCCACGCAGCCATGCGGGGAAGAGTATGGTGCTCAGACTATGAGCCTTGGCCAACATTGTCCATACCGCCTCTGTTGGGCATACCAAAGGGATTCCTGTTATCGCTGACGGGTGTGCTGTCGTGCTTATTGATAGCCGCATTGATAGGACCGTTGATGCTCGCGTTGCGGACGGGACCACTCATGCTGTTTCGGCCGTTTACGGGGTTGCCGTGGATGTTTTTGGGTACGCCGTTGTTGTTCATGCTAGGGCCTGGCATGCTGTTGTTCCGATTGTGGTTGTGGACCCCGTTTCCGTTGATTGCGACTGGAAGGCCGTTGGGCATGCTATTATGCATGTTGTTCTCCAGGCCTGCGCTCATGGGGCCGCCCATCGGTGGACCCATTCTCACGCTCTCGTTGTTATCACCCATGTTGTCGACGTCGGGCCAGAAGCGCTCTTCTAGCCAACACATTTGTCGGAAGATCTCTTCGCAGCGCGACATTTCCTCTTTGCCGTCGCGTGTAGTTGTGATGTTCGCTAGCTCATCGACGAGCGCGCGTGTCGCCTCGACGAATTTGCTGAAGGCCGGGGAGGTCCAGTTCGGTATTAGGGCTTGGTGGAGGGCGACGATGTGCGAGTCAGTGGAGGTGTTGGAGAGAGTATTGGAGAAGGAGGCGGCATATTGCCAGGCGGAGCGATAGCACTATCAGACATTAGCTTCGTGCGCCCATTGCTGGGTTGGGTTGGACCTACATGTTCGCTTGCCCATAGCACAACCATACCCTCTAAAAGTGATGCGCTCGCACTACTAGCGCTCACGAGAAGATCAAGCATGGCGCGCGTAATAGGCGTAGGCGGTTCCATGCCCAGCGCAAGCCCATACTTGGTCGCGGTGATCTCGAAGAACTGCATCTCTCTTCGCATGTTGTTCAGCGCGGAGATGAGCAGGTCCATGGTGCGATACATGGGATGGAACTGCGAGTTCTGCGTCTGCGGCAGTCTTATCTTGGCCAAAAGCTGTCCTATGAAGCGAATGTAGCCTCGCGCATAGTGTCCGTCTTGTACCAGCCATTGCGACAGCGGTCCTGGTCCTAGCGATCCACACCCGGCATGCGATAGGAACGGTCGCTGTGTTGCTTGCGCAAATGGGCCCGAGCAGATGCTCAGGAGATGAGACGTCAGAGAAGGCGCTACATTGGGTGTCATGGCAATATTTGGCGCAATAGGCTGTCCATCGCGTGTGCGCTTACTGTTGGGACCGCGCCGATTTACTTGGAGGTTTGGATTTGGCTGCTGTCCACTCAGAATTTGACTGGGGCCCGGAGCCATGTTTGAATCCATAGGCAATCCATTCTGCTGAGGCGGCTGCTGTTGTTGCTGCTCCTGCGCGAGAAGATGGGCCTGCGCCTCGGGCGACGTCAGATATCGCTGGCAGTCTTGGAGATGCTCGATCTGTCGCGTTGTGTTCTTCGCGCGCACGAAGCCGCAATGCAAACAGCGTACTTTGTTACATTTCGAGGGCGTGTCTTGGTCCTGAAACTCTTCAAATGCTCGCCTTATGTCAGGGTTGGCATGTCTGCCCATGGCGGCCTGCTGCCATGGTGGACGTTAGCCTCATGGCAGCACATGTCGTCGGAAAAAATACGGAACAAGTGGAGCTCACCTCGAATCGGGCTGTCTCGATGATGTGATGTGTATTGTGTATTGTAACAATCCGGGCGGGTAAGGTATCGCCCCTCACCGAGGCATGTTAGGCGGCTGCGGCGCCTTACCTCAGCCGACATTGCCCAGATGGACCTGCTCTCCTCCGAACATGTCTCCGGCTGCACCTGCCCTAGAGGCGTCTGTAATTTTCTAGTTGACACTGGCAGGGACCAAGTTGGATACAGTTTGGCTAGGCATTAGACGTTGATGTGGTTTCACGTGGTCGACATGTGCGTATCGTGGGCATCGTTAGTAACCCGGTTCTGTTCGTTAGGTTGCCGCCAGCGCCTGTGCACGCGAAATCTTTCCGTAATTTCAATCGGCGGCCATGCAGCGCATCGAGAACGCCTCCGCGTGACTTGCACCATGCCTCTGAAACTAAGCATGCGCAACATTGTACGCCGAACCTCCAACTGCTCGAGCAAGTACCATCGTCATCCAGTCGCCATGATGTGTCGAACCGTCTTGTCCCAAGTCGCATGGCCTGAAAGCCCCCGAGGCCGTCACTACCCGCGCGGCGACTCTGTCCACCTTCATCACGCGACGTCTTGACCCAAACTTCACTCACGATGCTTCACACTACCCCACAAACCTATGCCGTCAGCTTAACTCGTTCCAGTAGTCCAACCCGCCCGCGCATCTCCGCACCCCATCGCACGATGTACTATGACTGATGACGCTGCGCAGCTAACTGCCACCTTGGTAGACTAACAGGCCGGCAGACGAATCCTCGTCGGGTACATCAACCTCAGCGAGCTTTGGGCATCCACGATGGTCACTAGAAAACTTCTGGCAGTCACACGCCCTCCCATGGCTCCGACGATCACGCTCGTAGATCTACTGCCGACTTCGCCAGCGCCGGGAAAGGCATCGTGCCACCTTCCCCGCATCAGCCAAGCTTTTCGCGATCGCGCGCCGTTGCACGTTTATACCCGACAATCGTGTCTTGTCAGTAACCTGGTAACGACATCACTTAGGCAAGCTGCATATGCGTCCGGTGTGTCGGGGGCGAATCTCGTGACGTGCAGAAGAGGAAGTTGGCAATGTACGGTGAAGAAGATGTTTGCGATTGATGACGTCGATGGTTCTGGGGGCGGCTCATCCTCCTGCTGCCCTATTGGCAAGCCACACGGTTTGCCTCGCATGTTGGACACCACGGCACGAAACAACTTGCTTTTACAAATGAATGTCGCCTTTAGCCAGTTGGCAAGGCAGAGGTACCTGTCTCAGCTTCCAGGTACCACAGTCCTCTACATGTGGCAAAGATCACTGCCCACGAGAAGGCATGAGTCAGATAATGGCATCATACCTCCACCATGTTGGAAGAACTTCGGCCTCGTGGGCCTTTTGCCCGGGGACAGCGTGTTTTGCATGTGGACGTGTTGCCGATCACAGAACCACAACAAAGGTCTGCATTTGACCTTCCCCGCAACGGTGCCGCTTGCAGCCCAGTCTGCATTCCTAAGCCGCCCTGTGTGGACGAACGTACGACATCAGATGCTCAGTACACACCAAGGGTACTCCGTGAAGATATCGGGGAACGCCCGAAGCAACGTTACACGAACTTGGCCGCAACCGGATTTCCATGTTGTCGACCATGCTCTTGACAAGTCGGTGTTGGCAAACGCCAACTCACTCCCAAGAACCCACCGTCCACGTTCCGGTGTATCACGACGCTCCTCGGGGACGCGGTTCCAAGCTTCTCGAAGATCATCTCCAACGCGTGAGCACCGCCTCGGAAGCTAAGTGGCTGAGACATGCCGATCCCCACATCATAGCCATCAAACAGTCCTCCAATCACCACACTGTACCTGAATATCCCTTACAATTTCCGCCAAGCAACAACCCTGCATCTGACCTCTTTGATCCGCCTGACCCCAGATCTTTTGCTTTATGCTATGGCCTGCCGAGGCCCCCAGGGTCCATTCTACCGTAGCTTGCTGGCGGAACCGGTCTTTGTGGCGGTTGTCAAGCGGCTTGGGGTAGCTTCGACTTGCTTCCCCTATTGGAGCTGTTGCGTCACCGCGTCATTCGCCAGCGATGTCTCCGTGTCCGGAGTAAGTAACGATGTACACATCGTTCCGACACTGCTCGATCGCGACATGTCGGCGGTACTGCGGTTGGTTGCCTTGGTTGCCTTCCCCGACACCGCCCTAATGGTGGCCAGAATAGCTGTCGCGGCTAGCTAGGATAGAGCTCCGGGAAAGGAGATCATCCCTACGTCGTGAAGCAGCGAACACATGCTTGTATGGTGGGCATGACTGGGAAGAAAATTGGGGCGAATTTGTTGCTGTGTTGGCGGCTTGTGAGTCTTCGCTTTGTTCTGGTTAAAAGGAGATCCTTCCCCCGATGCCATGGGTCTGCACAAGTTCAAGTCTGGGTCCATCAGCTACACAACCTTTCCTGTACTCCTTTCGAGTACAATTGCATGTTATACAGCATTCAGTTAGTTGAGTAACAACACTCCTCATCTCAATATGATCGGATCCTGGACATCAGCGGCGGCCATTGGCCTGCTTGCTCTGAGCACAAACGCATCTCCGCTCCTACCCATCAAGCGCGCACCCATGTTCGATTACAACAACCAGAAGGTCCGCGGTGTCAACACAGGCGGTTGGTTCGTTCTCGAGCCCTGGATCACACCCAGCATGTTCGAGGGCAACAGCGCAAAAGACGAGTACACACTCGTTGCAGCTGTCGGCAAGGAAGAAGCACAGTCGAGGCTGCGTGACCACTGGAACTCTTGGATCACCAAAGCCGATTTCGAACAGATGGCCGGTGCTGGTTTGAACCACGTTCGAATTCCAATTGGTTATTGGAGCGTACTCCCACGTGACGGCGACCCATACCTACCAGGCGCGTACGACAAGCTCGGAGAAGCGCTCGACTGGGCGTCCGATGTTGGTCTCCATGTTATGATTGATCTTCATGGCGCACCCGAATCCCAGAACGGGTTCGACAACTCTGGCAAATACGGCAACGTTGGCTGGACTCAGGGCGATTCAGTGGCCTACACCATCAAAGTCCTCAACAAGATACGCGATGATCACGCGTCGCATCCCGCCGTCTCAGCTATCGAGCTTCTCAACGAGCCTCTGGGCCCCAGTCTCGACATGAACACGGTTCGACAATTCTACATGGATGGTTGGGGCAACTTGAGGGACTCGAATGTTGCAGTCACCTTCCACGATGCATTCCAGGGTGTAACTTCGTGGGGTAACTGGGGTGCTGGAATGTGGAACCTTCTCCTCGACACTCACCACTACGAGATCTTCGACAACTCTGCTGTTGCTATGAGCATTGACGACCACGTCAAGACCGCTTGCGACTTCGGTAGACAGATGGCATCCACCGGCAAGTGGACTATCGCTGGTGAATGGACTGGTGGCATCACCGACTGCGCAAAGTGGCTCAACGGAAAGGACAAGGGTGCGCGTTACGATGGTACCTTTGGCGGCTCCAAGGTCGGTGACTGCACCGGCAAGTCGACTGGCACTGTTGCTGGCCTGTCAGAAGCCGACAGGTACAACGTCGGTCGCTTCATTGAGGCGCAGCTTGACGCCTACGAGATGGCCACCGGTTGGATTTTCTGGACCTGGAAGACCGAGGGCGCACCCGAATGGGACATGAAGGCCCTCTTGGAGGGCGGTATCTTCCCCCAGCCGCTAACGGCACGACAGTGTAAGTACTCCTTCTGGTGTCGCATGAGCATGAAACTGACAACCTCTAGACCCCGGCCAGTGTGGCTAAGTGCCTCGTTGTTCATGCAACGTCTACTTGGCGCGATCCTACTCTTTTTCCCGTCCTTCATGCACACACACTCGCTCCGCCGCAACACCTTCTACTCGACACACCGACCAGTAATGATGTAACGAATTTCATACCGCTTCGAAGATACCCCGACGACGCATTCACTCGCTAGATGGGACACCCACATACAGTAGGGCTGTCCATGCTTGTATCGGCTGACACAGCTGTCACCGTCGCACCGCCCATTGAGCTGTTGGCTGGGCAGGGGCGCACCTGGCGCAATGTAAATATGAGACGATAAACAAACTGTAGAGTCAACAATGCAATGGAGAAATTGAAACAAACGCAAACTATCGTGACACGTCTGAGCTGTGAGTTGGATTACTTTGTCCAGGTTTAATGGGGTGAAGCGGTGATTTTGCGGGCTGACGGGCTTGTTCGCGGCTGCCGCGCCCGGCCCAAGCCATCTCGCTCGCACCTGCCCTACGGTGAGATGAATGTCTGTGATGTGCAGCCTCGCTTAGACGGCGATGCGTCGAGCCAGAGCGCACGAAGGTGCGACAAAGGGCCAACCTAACTCTCCCTTTTCGGGGCCTGGTCGTGAACCAGTGGCGCCTCGACGGCCGCCAGTGCAACGGTACCTGAGCTAGAGCGCACGACTCGGGCACAAGCAAGCAGATCGCGTTCCACGGCTTGCGAGAATCTGGAGAACCCTCGCCCGCGCATCGTGACACCGCCTCACCGCAAACTCA